GATATGGATGTCTCCTCAGAGGTCTTCAAGAGTCTGACATATTCAGAGGCAGATGCTCACAGCTGACCATTGAACTGATCATGGGGTTCCCAGTGGAGGAGTTAGAGTGAAGACTGAAGGAGTTGAAAAGGTTTTCAACCCCATGAGGAGAGCAACAATACCAACCAACCACAGCTCCCAGGGTCTAAACCACCAGCCTGAGAGCACTTAGGGAGGGATCAGGGATTCAGCTGAATAGTAAGAGTGGAGGGCCCTGCTGGGCATAGGTGGAAGAAGAGAACCTTGACCTCATGAAGACTGGACGCCCCAGGGGGTGGGAATTTTGAGGGTGGGGAGGTGGGAGTTGGGGGGTAGGTAGAGGTTACATCTGCAGAGAAGAAGGAGGAGGGGTGAGGGGATGGGGAGTTCCTGGGTGGGTGGGCGATGGGGTAAGGGGACAACATATGCAATGTAAATGAAACATCCAATAAAAAAAATTTAAGGGGCTGGAGAGATGGCTCAGCGGTTAAGAGCACTGACTGCTCTTCCAGAGGTCTTGAGTTCAAATCCCAGCAACCACATGGTGGCTCACAACCATCCATAATGAGATTGGATGCCCTCTTCTGGTGTGTCCGAAGACAGCGACAGTGTACTCATAAATAAAATAAATAAATAAATCTTTAAAAAAAAATTTAAAAAAAAGTAGCAGCTCTCAACCTGTCCGTCATGACCTCTTGAGGCATTGAACCACCCTTTTACAAGGGTTGCTTACCATCAGAAAACAAAGCTATTTATAGTATGATTACAGTAGCAAAAGTTCTACTTCTACAGTTATGAAGAAGAAATGAAATAATCTTACGGTTGGAGTCTCCACAACATGAGGGTCACTATAGCATGAGTATTAAAGGGTTGTACCGTTAGAATAATAGAGAGCCACTGATCTAAAGGATGGAGACCACTGGTCTCCCATAGCTTAGAATCCTCTTACGCCATCACTATGCATTGCTCTGTATTACTTTGATACTATGAACCTAGATATTTCATTTCTTCTCTCGGTTACTCATTCACTGGTCTCTCTAGATGACTGAACATTTAATGAATGCCCTTTAGACACCATGAGTACCCAAATGAATGACTTTCAACCTGGACAAGTTCAACTTGTGCCTTCTCAAACATAACCAAGATATTATGTACAAGAAAAATGCCTTTGTCTGTAATACCTAAGATTGCCTATTATACCAAGTTAGAAAATATTTGGTATTTTTTCCCCAAGAATGCACTCATCTCATAAGCATAACTGGCACATAATTATGCTAACATGAATAGAAAAGAGCCATATTTATCATTAATGTACCAGCTGTTGAATGATGCTGATAATCCCTGTATTGAGAGTGTCTGCCACCTCATTGGAGTGGCTCAAGTTTCATGTTTCCAGGGTGCTCTGTCACAGTAGCCTGTGACATGCTTTACTTCTGGCCCTTTGCCAGCACTTTCTACTCAGTGCTTTATTCTACCAGTATGTAGCTCTCTATGAGGCTCCCCTTCCCCCTCAGCCTACAGCACAGAATATTCATGAATGAACACCCTAGAGAAAACTCCTACTGTTTTCTTATTTAGGAAACTCCAGGAAATCTCCAATGAGCGGATTTTGTTTTAGCCAAGCAACTGCCATCTTGGGATGCTCAACTTTGCCTCCTTGCAAAAAGATGATCTCAGCAGTGCTTGTTGACTGCTTACACCTCAAATGAAAGGTTGAAGAGGATCAAAAGATCTTATCCTGAGAACTCAGCTGCTCCCTTCCGTTTGTTGTATATATAACTCTGCCTCAATTGCATTTGGATTCTGGGTGAGGCTGGAGTACATAGATGGGCAGTCTACAGATGGAGCGCCCTCTCTCTCTGTGGCTACCCGGGAAACTCTCATCCTTGCTAGAGAAGGGCTTTTTAGGTGTGTCTTGTTGTGAGCGCAGCACCCAGACCCCTGTAGGGAACCCCTTCATTGGTGCTCTGTAAGGAAGGAAGTTCAAGAAGCTCACTGGTCACTGGTTGCCCAGAGTGAAGTTTGAGGCAACCATGCCTCGGTAACTAGGTTCTTAGCAGAAGGGTTAGACACGCTTGTAATTAGTCAAAAGCTTGGCATCCTGGGTTTCACTTTACCCATGAGGCCCCACCGCTTCTCCCCTGAGTTAGCTACACCATCTTACACATCCAAAGCTTTCTTCACCCAAACATGTGCCCCTATAGTTCATCGGGTTGCAAAGTCTATCCCTTCTTTATCCTCTCATTTCAAACTTCAGTTTCAATTCAGATGTGGTCCAGTGGTAAAGTGTTCGCCTAGAATCAGAGATAAACAAAAATGACTGTCATAGCTTTTCTCCTGACATCTTCCCCGACTGCTATTGCTCACATCAAGTTTCTGAAATTGACTACTCTCAGTATCATACTTTAGGGTTTAACTGGTGCTTGACTGACTCACCTCCTCTTTGTGACTCCTCTTTCCTAGTAGGTAATACGCTGCACCCAGGACAGAGGAGGCCACTCTAACGTGGGCTTTGTGCCCTTTCCTAATTTTAGGCCGTCTTGACACAATCATTTGATGCTGAAATGCTGAAGAAATAGTTGTGGAATAAATGAATTGCTACTAACTCCAAACATTTTCTTTGTATTCCTGGTACCTACCTTCTTAACTCATGTGTTCCCATCTCTCTTCCTAAGCCTTTCCAATCACAATCAACAGGTTGTAATCCCTTTTATATTGAGTGAAGTTGTTTTTATGGGGTCCACTTAAATCCAACTGCAACAAAGAGCCAGAATATCTCAGAATGTTTAAGCTAGCAAACCACAAAAGTCTGTGCCAAGCAATTGTCACATTTTTCCATCAATCAGGATAGGAGTTGATTCCTGAGCCTGGGAACACGAACTTAGTTTAACCCTGCCAGCAAGATGGAGACATCCTAGAGATGGCTGGACTCAGACAACTGTTTACGACAGAAGCTGTTCAGCTATTGGGAAGTCCCCAGCTCTCCTAGGACCTGGGACCTCAAATTTACTCTCCCCCCTCAACTTCCTCCCCTCCCCCCCATGATTAAATGGAGTCTGAAAACAAAATGGCGGTACTTAGAACAAGTTTCTTTTGTTTGTTTCCAATAGCATATGTGTTTATGTATACATATACAACTGAAATCAAGATTTCAGAGAACTGGTCACTAAAAACTTCTGATCTCTACACACCAAGATGGCATGCACTCCTACCTCCAATAAATAAATTTAATTTAATAAAAACCACTGATTGTTATACATGTAGATGATTTTTGCCACCACTAAAGAATTTCAACTATAGTATAAAAATACTCTCCATGCTATGGTCCTGGTAGAAAATGTTTGGGGTAAAACACTGCTCTATTGCTATTTTTTGTTCCTGACAGTTTGAATTTTCATTACGGTCTTCATATACTTGAGTTGCTTTCTGTCATATTGCCTCAAAACACCTAGATTCAACTCCCTCCTAATTCCCCACTCCCTGCCCACTTCTACCTTTAGAAATTTGGAACCCAGTCCAATGATATATAAAGCATCCTCTAGATTGCTGTTTCACAGGTTATCTTGACAAACTTTGGTGGCATATAAATAAACATTTCCAGGGTTACTTTGTAATCAAGTCATTTAGAAATGAAATGTGAGAAGCTAGCTTGTTTAGGACTATAGCTTAAGAATACATGTCCTACTGCCTGATAGCCCATAGTCTGAATCACAATTTTGCCAAATTATTTAACTTGAGCTTCTCAATCCACACAATTGGGATAATATGTACTTCAAAGAACCAATCGATAAATGAGAAGATTGGTAGAGCTTGATGCAGTAGTTTCTGTGACATTGTCTTAGGAATGGAAGCAACAGATTGTCCTCTCTAAAAACATACCTGTAACTTCATGCTGGTGTCATAAAGTAAGGTTCAGTCATAAGAGCAAAACTAAGATTCCGTTTTCTTTTTAAATATCTGTTCTAAATTTGGGTAATCTATAATATTAAAAAATCCATTGCTGCTTTTATAGGTCATAGATATCTGAAAGAAAGATTCTAACTGCAACGCTGGATTATCTAAAAAATGCCTACTGAAACCAAAAGGCTGACTGGTCTGATTATGGTAGCTTAGATTTAGGTTTTTGCTCAATGGTACTTTTCAAATTACAAGCGTCTAATGGTGAAGTGTTTTAATTGAGGAAAATGAGTACGACACGAAGATGTACAAGTGGATGCTTTTAAACAGTATAAACTTCTTCCATTTGCTTGTATGGTCCCTCTCAACAGTTATCCACATCCTTGTCGGAGAGGTCAAGCTACTTCCAGGGTAGTTTTCTTTGCATGCCTAGCAGTTAGCGCTTCATAGAAAGCCTTTCCCCTTAACCTTTCCAGTTTAATTCAGCAAGATAGGATCTGAACAACATCCCCAGAAACTGAGGTGCAGCCTGTACTCTCACAGAAAAATCTCAAACTTTCCCCAATGTTAGCCCACTTTGGTCACTCGCTGAGTTATGTGCGAAGCAGTTAAATGCCCTTGACAATTAAAAGAGTATCTTCACCAATTCTGTGAGAATTTCCTACAATTTATTTTGATCATAATCATTTTCCCCTCAAATGAAAGCCTTTGATAATTTGATGGTAGCCTCTGGGGACTGACTATTCTGGTCACATACATTGCTGGTGCGGATACGTGTGTGTGTGTGTGTGTGTGTGTGTGTGTGTGTGTATGAACTGCCCACTCAACTCTCCCTCGAGAAGTTGCTGCAGCCTGGCCCGCGAGGGGACAAAAACTCGGAAAAGGCCCACAGGGCAGGCGAACGTGAGAGCGTGCACGCTTTCACGACATACCGCCCGGAAAGGGGCAGGCAAACCCGTGCGAAAACTGGGAAGGGTGGGCCTCGGAGGGTTAGCATAGCGGGCGGGTCCAGAGCAGGTGAGGGAGGGGCGCAGGGCTTGGGGCGGGGCCATGGCGGACGGGGGTGGAGCGCAGGGCTTGGGGGCGGGGCCATGGCGGGCGAGGGCGGGGCGGCGCCGTGGGGGCGGCGGTGCTTCGGGTGGGGTGACAACGGTCAGAGATGAAGGTGGCCGCGGCGCAGCGGGGAGTTGAGCTGCGCCGGGCGCGGTTGGCAGCCAGGCCGCGCCTGTAGGACCTCGGGGCCGGGGTGGCGGGATGGGGACCCTACTCGGGTAGAAAGGCGGCGGCAGCAGAGAGCGGAACTTAAGCCCGAGGGGCTCGCCTGCTCCGGTCACTCTCGGAGTCCTCCTCCACCTGCTGCCGCTCGGCCCCGCGTCCGGCGCGCCACCACGGCCTCGCCGGCGCCGGGGCCATGTGGCGCTGGGTCCGGCAGCAGCTGGTAAGTGAGTGCTGGGTGGCGCGGCGGGGCGGCGCGGGCTAGGCCGCGGCGGGCGCGCGCGGCTCTCCCTCGGCCCGGGCTCCGCACAGCGCGGGGATGCGCTGCAGCTTGCGGCCGCTGCGGGTCGCGAGCGGCGCGGGCCCCGAGGTGACGGAGGCGGCGGCGCGGGGCGCGGGTCAGGCGGCTCCCCGGACTCCGAACTAGGCTCGTGCGGGCTCCGGAGGAGGTCTGGGTCCTCCTCGGCCTCCCGGCGGAAGCTCGCCCAGGGCCTAGGAGGAAGGCGGGCCGGAAAGGTCCTCACCGCAGACCGGTGCAACTTCTCTGTGAATCTGCCCACCCCTCCTCAAGGCGGTTAGAACGCACGGGTTTGGAACCAGTGGGTAACTTTTGGACATTACTGTGTTACCTGGAGAGAGAAAAAGAAAGCCCTCGAGTGACTTAAGTATCTCAAAAGCGTCACCTTTCTCAGAAATTATCCACAGACGAAAATCTCTCATGTCTCTTGGCACCTGCAGCCTAGAAAATAACGCCGAGGCGACAGTGACAGAGCAGACATCACTTCAGTTCTAGGAATGCTAACCTATATGCTGTTTAATTTCGAAATTGTACCAATTGCAGTATTTTTGTTTACGAGGTTTCAAGGCAGTGATAAATCTTAGTGAATCAGAAATGTACTGTTTTGAGACCAAAATCTTCATTCTTTTTTTTCCCCCTGTGGTAGAACAGCTTTTCAGGTAAAAACTAAAAAGTATGTATTTCAGTCAGTCTCCTGTTTACTTTACAGTAAGCATCACTCTTAAATAAAGAAATCTTATAAATAAAACTAGAACTGCCTGCCACTCCCTCATACAAATGGTGGGTTTTTATTTTTAGCTAACTGTTGCAAATTGAAATATTCCAGCTTTATTGGGAATCCAAGCTAATGATGTCACTTAATCCACACTGTTGGCTTTCTTGTGGCAAGCCGGTACAGTAAGGAAGTTAATTATTACAAATCTGATCTGCTTTTGACTTCTCAGATGTCATGTAAAGAAGGCTTGATTTAACACCTTTTATCTGATGTTTTGTGTGAGAAAATAATTTTTAAGTCTGTTTTTTTCAAGCTTTTCCCAGTATGTTAAGACAGTGTCTCAGTGTGAGGTACTTTTTTTGTTAGCTTGAATAAAATCCTTCTGTATGATCATTCCTATCTTCCAGATAGAAATCTGGTAACGTTGGGGAAAATGGCTTTAATGTTTACAGCTGAAAGGAAGAACCAGAAGCTGTGTGGTCATTTATAAGTCAGCTGTCTTATGGGACTAACAAGTTGAACAAGTTGCCTTGCATAAAAAAATGCTATCTCTGATATTTAGTTGCCTGTCACTGGTTTTACTTTTACCATATCAAGTCTTTAAGGCCTTGTGCCAAAGCAGGACTTTGTATTGCTAAGTTTGTGTAATCACGTAACTTACAAATTAAGTTATGTATGTACATATTATTAAGTATGTACAGAGTAACGAAGTATGTTGTACTAGCTCAGTAATAAATAGCCATTCTAGTAGCTACTCCAAGAATTCTGTTCAAAAAGTCTAGCTTGGCTTATTCATATTATACACATTTTATATACAAATAATGCAGATATATTCTATGTGTGCTCACTGGGTTTAGTCACCAACATTATGTTAATTGTAAAATTCATAAAGTGAAAATTTGGGTAAATCAATAAATCATAGGGACAGGTTGTTTTGGAGTTACAGAACATTTCATATGAATCCTGGCTTCCAACTAATACTTTAACCAAAAAAAGATACTTTTTGTTTTTAATTTTTTTGTTAATACTTAGTGCAGTGTGTGTGTGTGTGTGTGTATGTGTGTTTAAGTCAGAGCACCCTATGCCAGTCAGTTCTTTGCTACCCTGTGGGTCTCGGGAGTCAAACTCAGGTTCTGAGGCTTGGTGGCAGTCTCCTCTGCCTCCTGAGACATCTCACTTAACTGCTGTCTTCTTATGATAGGCCATTGTATCTTCTATTAATTTATTTGCCATTTTAAAAAAATTGATTACTTTCTTATCTCTATAAAATATTTTTAACTGCCTAACCATGAGGAAGCATGATAAAAACTGACATTTTCCTTTTATGAAAATAGTGAAAACGTGAAATATCTTTTTTTTTGTTTTTCTTTTACACATAATGTTCAAATTACTTAATGCTAAAAGTTATTATGTATTTCTGGTGTAGTTTATATTCATAGTGTACCCCTTTTCAGTAACATGCTGTACTAACCCATTATAATACATCATTAACAGCGTCTCAATTATAATAGCATAGGACCATTAGATGCCTGGTGTATTATTATTATTATTATTATTATTATTATTAATTATTACCTTTCCAGTGCTAGCAGTCAAACCCACAGCTTTACACATGCTAGTGGTAGCTGTTGACCACATGCAGCTGCTAAAATTTATGTTAAAAGAAGAATATTTTCAATAGTATATTTATTTGTATAGTGCTGATGTCTACCTTTAAGCAAAAATCCTTGTAAACAAATATGTTTAGGTGACGTACATGGTATTATAGAACAATGTATTACCATGTTTTCATAGAACTTACTTGTGTGTAGTTATACGCTAAATCCTGTTTTATGTGAATGTGATGAGGCTTTTCCTCATGACTGTTCTCACTCAGCCCCTAGATTGAGCATACAGTTAGTCTTGATAATGCTTTCTGGATAATGAATAGATTAGGAAATAATGAATAATTAATTATTTCTGTGTTTAGCAACATAGTGATAAAGTTTAAGTCTGACAAGCCCAGAAGAGTGTAGAAAATGACTGTAACTGTGTGCAAGCATAAGCTATTAGATAGTGTTTGTTTTAGTTGGTGGCACAGGCCTGTAATCCGAGCATCTGGGAGTTGGAGCTGGGGTACAGTGCAGTGCAGTTCTTAAACTGTTCCTGATGGCCTTTCAGACTTGCACTGGTGATTATGAAAGGAGGTAAAGGCTGTCTCCTGATTCACTGAGGAAACTGGCAAATTCTTAGCCACAGCTCCCTGGGTGTCGTTATCAAATGCATGAGCACACTTGCTGTGTCTGTGCTCCCCTGCCTTGTTTGTGCTGTCACAGGAGGGAATCCCCTTCAGGCTCGCAGTCCACTGTGGTTGTGATACTGCTATCATCCTTCTCTAGCCCCCGTCAGTTAGCAGAGCCTTTGCCCTTTCTCATTCCCTTAAACCTGCAAACACAGTGAAGCTTCCCTCTTTATCTTAATTTGCCCTGTACTGTAACTGACTTCCAAATGTTCTTTAATATAATAATCATTTTTAAAAGGTTTATTCTGCATCAGTTCTGTCTAATAAACTTGAAATATGGCTAGCTAAAGCTGAAATTTTCTTAAGTATAAAATATAATGGATCTTAGAAGAAAAATGTGACATATCTGAGTTATATTTATTTCTGTAATAGTAAGATGGCTTAGCAGAAAAAGGTACTTGTTACCAATTACTGTAATAAATACACAGTAAATGTGCTCAGTCTGACCTCTGGGATTCACTTCGTAGGAGAAATTATCTCCTGAAAGGTATCCTCTGACTTTTACATTTGTGTGTGACATGTGCCCACTCCCCATCAATAAGTAAATATAATAAAGATTTTATTTATTTTTAAAATGTGGGTATTAGAAATTTAAAAATAATGTATGTGGCTTGCATCTGTGACTAGTGTTTTATTTTTACTAGCACTACTATATAACGTTAAAAGTAAGCTTTGGTTTCTTTGGAGCACATTAAATCTGGATATCTTTCTTTATATTTGTATCTGTTTGTCTAATCTATCTATCTATCTATCTGTCTATCTGTCTATATCTATCTATTGAAAGGATCTTTTTAATGTATCACAGGCTGGTCTTAACTTGTGATCTTCCTGCTCAGTCTCCTGAGTGTTTGGATTTTAGAAGTGTATTCTTAAATATCAAGTTTTTCTTTTGGTCAAGGTGAAATGTTAGAAGTGTCTGGGTGTTCCCAGGAGCACTCAGGGATCTTGCTTCAGAGCCTGGGTGTATGGCTTTCCCCAGAGTGAGGTCGGTATACCAGGTGTCACCATTGAAAGCAAATTTAGTTTCCTCCCCTGGCAGCAATTAAATGCCAACAGCTCTTTAGCTAAGGGTGTGATTTCGTGCCTACTTCACTTTCTCCATGCTGAAAATTTGTTTTCTCTTGCTTGATTTTGTGCAGGCCTTATATATATTGTCACAACTGCTATGATTTTGTATGTGTATCTGCCCTGTCTGGAAAAGTTGATTTGAAGTCATTTACTGTACTGGCTGGTTTTGTGTCAACTTGACACAAGCTGGAGTTATCACAGAGACAGGAACCTCCTTTGAGGAAAAGCCTCCATGAAATTCAGCTATAAGGCATTTTCTCAATTAGTGATCAAGGGAGGAAGGCTCAGTGTGGGTGGTGCCATCCCTGGGCTGGTAGTCTTGGATTCTATAAGAAAGCAAGCTGAGCAAGTCAGGGGAAGCAAGCCAGTAAGTAACATCCCTCCATGGCCTCTGCATCAGCTCCTGCTTCCTGACCTGCTTGAGTTCCAGTTCTGGCTTCTTTTGAACAGCAGTGTGGAACTGTAAGCTGAATAAAACCTTTTCCTCCCCAACTTGCTTCTTGGTCATGATGTACAGGAATAGAAACCCTGACTAAGACACTCACCATCTCTACATCTTAATCTTTTCGACTCTTTGACTTAGATCCCTGAGTCTTTGTGGGGTTTTATATAGATATCCAATCAGGGCTGAGCACTCTGACATCTCTTAATTTGCCACATGTTGATCAGTTGTGGATCTCTGTGCTAATTGCCATATATTGTAAGAAGAAGCTTCTCTGATGAGGGTTGGGTAGTGCAGTGATCTATGGGTAAAGTAGTAAGTCATTAAAAGTCATTTATTGGCATGTCCATTTAGCAGGTTAGTAGTAGGTTTTTTCCTAGAGCCAGTGATCCATCTAGCCACAGGTTCTTGGTGTCATT